AAAGAGTGGGGCCACAGGTGGCAAAAAAGGGAAACCCATCTGTGGAGGGGTCAAATAGAGTTCATAACTTTATTTACTGTGCTGCTTTTATTTTTAATAAAGTTTGGTGCTGATGTGTCTACTTCAGTAATAAAACCAAATTTTTAGTAAGGGCAAGGATAACTCAGATTCCGATCTGATACAGTGAATGTTTAAAGAAAGAAGGAAGTTTATATACAAAAACATGTACTGAAATCTGAAATCAACTACAACTCATATTTGAAGCTCTGAAACATGCCTTAAAACCATCATTGTCTTAGGACAGCTGCAGTATTAATTAATGCAAATGGTGAGTTAAGCAGGGGATTGCCCGCAGTGTCTTTTCATCAGATTCATGGACTGAATGGGGTAGTGCCTACTCTCCTGAGCTTAGAGAGGGGGGAAAAAATAACCTTTTCTCTTCTGCTCATACAGATCCACATCCAGAGAACAGAAGGGTGTGACCACATGACTTGTTCCCAGTGTAACACTAATTTCTGTTACCGTTGTGGGGAGAGATACCGCCAGCTCCGGTTCTTCGGAGATCACACATCAAACCTCAGTATCTTTGGATGCAAATACCGCTACCTCCCCGAGAGACCACATTTAAGGAGATTAGTGCGAGGATCTGTCTGTGGTGAGTGGATAAATGTTCCTTGTGGAGAGCCGCACAATGAGGTGATTGAGCGCAGGAGTCAATAATAGTTAAATAAAATCTAGTGGTTTAAAGTATTGGATGAGCAGCCTGTTGTTCAGTTATGTAAAAGGTGGTTTGTTGAATATATTTAAATAGCATTTGCACTCCCTTTTCTCATGGACTGTGTATGTGAATAAGTATCATGTTTTCTCCTGTTTCCTAACCTTTTTTAATAATACGTAAGCAAACTGGAAAAATATTGTCAATATGAGTGTTGCTTGCTGTGATTGTTATTCTAAAAGCATATAAAAGATACAGAAATGAACAGGAAAGTGGATGAAAATTCAAAATGTTTGGATGTGCCTACTCTGATAAAATCCAATGCGTGAGAAAATCTAGATTAAAGACAATGCTGGCGCTAGAGTACATGGATATAAAATGTTCATGAATAAATTTAGGCATAAAATTCAAGAACCATTTCAAAGTACTTAGTAAGGTTGCAGAAGAGCTTTTAGTAAAAGCCACTATAGCAAACAATGTGTTTTTAAAATGGTTCTTCATACATTTGATGGAATTACTCTCTGCGATAGCAAAGGACTGCTCTAAGAGGTGTTACCCACTTGATGCTGTTCACATGCAGAATCATGGGTAATCTTGTTCCAAGGTTAAACCTTCTATGTACAATGGAGATAAAAACATAAAAAAATGGGTTTTATCACAACACAGAACTGCAAAAATTAGCATTTTTGTCTCAATTTTTGCAGCGGTTTACATCTAACATATCTAAATACGCAGTCAGCATGTTTTAATGCTACATACAAAATCTAAAATACAGGTGCATGTACACTTCATAAAGTAACTACTAAAACACTCCAGAGCACTAACAGAACTCACCCATGAAAATGAAAAAATAAAAGTTTCCTCAGTTTATATCAGATTAGAGTTCAGGAATTGAGATCACTGCTCTTCTTCCATTGAGTTAGATTTTGGCTATGATTGGCATATGTGAGCCAGCCTAGATTCTAGTGCTTTTTCCACACAAGCACACATGTGGGTATGGACATATCTTTTAAAGAAGGCAATATATTGTTGTAAGACTATATCCCCTGACATTTTTCTTTTGAGACAATAGAATCCCTAATTGTGATACAGTGTCAGGTCAGTTTGTGGATTCTGCCATCTTCAGTGGTGGAAATTTGGCAAGATCAGCTATCTTTGTAAAACTTCAACAGAATTGATCTGTGTCTGTTAATTGGGTGAGTGTAAAAGTCTGCTTAGTGCGTTTGTCCCCAGCAGTGGTCAGTTAGAATTCCCTCCCTGTCTATTTCCAGTAATCATTGTTTTACATACTTCCTTAGCTAAGGTTTGTATCTGAACCTTTGCTTAATAATTATCAATAGATGTATCCTTCACCAATTTATACAATTCTTAAGTTTTGGCTTCCACATCATCTCTAGTAAGGGCTGTAGGATTTCAATATATGTTGTGTGGTATCTTTGTTTTATAGACCCTCCCTCAGATTCTTTGTCATGATCTTTGATTATTTTTATTATTATTGTTTTATATTTGTTTTGGTTTGAACTGAAGCTTTCTAGTCTTAATCATTTAAGATCAAGTTGAAAACCCGGAAATGTTTAAATCCAGTTAGGGATCGCACCTACACTCAGAGATGTCCCATTAGCTACAACCGTAAATGTAAATATGTTAAGGCTTTATCAGGCAGGAGGGGAGCATTCTCATCAGAAGGTGTCACTCTACAAGCCTGGGTTTTGCTTCCATTCTCAGACTCAGGAGAAGACATTAGAAGGAGGAGATGGTAGCAGAGAGGCCATCAAAAGCATAGTCTTTAAATTTTAGTAAGATGTAGCAAGAAATAAAGGTTAGATGTAGTAAAATGCCTCTGCTAGTTAGCTAAGTAGTGGAAATTAAAAGAACATTATCTTGGCTGTCAGTGGGAAACGGGTGAGGTGTCGCTACACGTTTTCTTCTGTGATTTTTTTTTTTTTTTTTTTTTTAAACTTTCTTGCTATGGAGAATAAATGTTTAAATAAACAGTGATTTTGTAGCCTTGTGCAGGAAAGGTTTTTGTCTTATTTCTACCAAATCTGGGTGGGTGGGGTGTGTAGAAAAGAAAGAACACTCAATGGCAGGCTGGCATGCTATCATGGTTTCTGTTGAGAAGCAAGGGGTTGCGCCTACAATCACAAATTGTTCTGTAATAAAAATAAGAGAAAAGCATTTATGGCAGCATAAATTTTTAAACATACTTTTCTTTATAAATCAGTGGGTTTTGTAAAGGTAATGGACATTACAGGGAGAAGAAAACCTGGGAGCAGAAGGTCTCTGAATTTGATGGCATTTCTCTCTCTTCTTTAGCAAGCATATTTTTTAGAGAAGCTTTGTCCTTTGACCAGTACAGTAAGGTGAAATTTCTTTTATCCTTCAGTCACAGCAGACTTAGAGCTTCCATTCTCATAGTAATTATTTGTCTAAATTGTTGAAGGCAGAATGCTTGCTTATAACTGGAGTTTTCTGTGAATTGCACAGAAAAGAGAAACATACTCAGTTGTCTTAAATGTACTTAAAGAAGTCACTTGATAGGACTATAAAAACAGATGCAAACTTCTATTAGAACTTAACATAGATGTGCCTGGTTTGATGTGTAAATAGGTACTTTTAGTGGCTCTGTTGCTTAAACATAAAATTATGTTTAGACTTGGAAAACAAAACTTTATCACATGCAAGTGGTTAAATCTGTTCTCTAAAACTATTATATAAAATCTTTTTACATGGCAAAGGATTCTGTAGGGATTTATGGGTGTTTGTATATATTACCTTAAAACCTGTAACCAAACCTGAAGTTATGCAAGGGAAAAATACTCCTTCATGTTTCTTCAAATGCTTTCTCATTTTGCAGAAAAACATCATTTTTTATATCACAAGTAATGCAACTCCTCTGAGACACTTGCAATTAATTGTAATTTGTGCAAGTCATGTTCACCTTGTGTTAACTTGTTCTTAATTTTCATTTACAAAGGCAGAGAGAGATAAAGGTTTTAAATGTGGTAGATACATAAGGAGAAAAGTATTTTGTTTTGTTTTCAAAAATTAACCTTTAGAAAGAATGCATTGATAACCAAAAGAAGATACTGTCCCATGACGATGAAAGGTCATTTTATCCTGTACAGTCTTGGAATTACACAATACTTGTAACTTCATGCACACAGGCAGAATTAAAAATGCTTTATTTCCTCTCTGAGTTAGTTTATGAAATGTAAGTAAACAAGTTCTTAAACTGAATTAGTTTAGGAACCCTTCTTTGTGTTTGCAAAGAAGTTACTCCACTCAAAAGCTAGTTTAGCCCTTTCTGCAGGCTTTGTTTGTATGTACTTAGTCACCAGTTTAATGGTTTAACATTTTTATAATTTTGGTACTAAACATCATAATTTTCTAACATTCTAGTTATGTGGTTATTAATAAAGAGAGTTCCTACCTTAAAATAATCTTTTATAAGCTTTACTTTGAAATAGTTAAAGGCTTTGGTAATGTTTTTGATTGCTCATTTTTGGAGTTTTCTCGAGGTTTTCCATCACTCTACATTCCTTCTTCTGTCTACACTTGACTATTTTGCTTGGACAACTCGTGTGTGTATCATGCAGCGCAGTGGAGTCCCAGGAAGGTCCACCATTACGATGCCTAGCAACTAGAGTAATACCAATAATATTTGACAATATTTTTCTTCTAGGAATTAATGCTTTCCACCCACAACACTCCTATAAAAGCTATCAAAACAGCATGAAAAGGACCTTTTACATTAAAGTGCTGTAAATTTTTCCAAAATATCTCATTTTTCCTTCAGACTGCCCAAATTAGTGGCCCAGGTTATGGAGAGGTTTACATCATTATTGAGTGAAGTAATCCATTCAGTGCAGTCTGATACAACTGACTTCAGGGAGAGGAGGGAAGAGAGAGGTAACAAGCTTGCTTTTCCTCTCTTCCTAGAGGTGACCTTGCAAACACACGCATAACTTAGTTGCTTCATTTCAAAGGCTTGATCAGACTGCTGGTGTATCAGTAAAAATGCCTGTCCTGCTGCATTTTCAAAGAGCTGAGACAAGTGATGTGTTTGATCCAGCCACTCAGCCAACACAGCCAGGGAGACTGCTGTTCTGTTGAAAGGATGGAGCTGGGGAAAGATAACTTGAACTCAAAGTTGAGTTTCAACTTCAGTGTTTCAGGAGGAGCCTTGCCCTCCCTCTGTGCATTTCTACAGATCATGAACTCACCAGAAATAAAGAATATGAGCATGCTTTATTTGTTCCATTGTCCTGCACAACCTCACTGACTTACTCATGTAAGAGCACCATCATATCCTTTTAAATATTGATTCAAAATAGACTTGGCGGTGGTTTGATTTAGACCTAAATCACAACTATACATGGGGACTTCACCATAGCATTTTAAAGTGAGCAGAAGCATATTTAGAGGTGATGGTCTCATCACCTTGAGCTAACCTAAATTCTCCAAGATGCTGGTTTGCTTGGCATCTTTCCAGGTTGGTTGCTGTGCAGCAGGATTCCAGAGAAGCCAAAAGATAGTAGCTTTGTAGCTATCAAGTTCCTGTCAATGACTGAGGGATTTCAGAATGGAAAGAGAAGTAAATGCGAGCTAACTGTGAATGTACAAAATGAGCTATGCTCAGAGGACTGTGGAGGGTGAAGAGATCAGAGAGAAATGCGTGCAGGGAGCTGGCTGAGCAATGATAGCTCCTAGCTGGGTTTGTAGGATGAATTTACACATCATAGTAAAGTATCAAAAAACAAACCTGCTTTTGGGAGTCTGATATTGAAATATTTATGGATGATTGGAAAGGGAAAAATAAAATGCCTACTTTGAATTATTTAATGAATTTTGCATTTCAGCTGGAAAACTACTCATTACACCCCTAATACTGGTTCTGGGACTGGCATTGGGAGCCATAGCTGTTGTAATAGGTAAGAGCTACATATGTGAACAAGCCTAATTCTGATTTTCTATAGGACATCTCAGTATTTCAATCTCGAAGACTGACACACAGTACAAATTTTACAGATACTGTTTAAAGCACATGACTTTTTTTCTAAAAACGTCTTTGGAATCTTTTTTCTTACTTGCATGTTATGCCTACTAGTTTTATTTTTTTTTTTTTCCCAGTTATTTGGCTTTCTGGACCAAAATCTTTAACTAGTAAACAAGTGAAAAGGCCAGAATAATTTAAACATAGCCCTGGCGGCTCACTGACTTGGACCCTCCCCTTAATCACCCCAGTGGATCACAATTCTAAGGTCTTGGTCATGTGCATGACAAGATTTTTGGGACACTAGGCATAGTCCCAAGAGCCCTCCAGCTTGAAGATACAACAACGACAAGGCAGCATATGGGACAAATCAAAATCTGATTCAGTGCATAGGCTGCTAAATTGGATTCCATCACAAAAAAAGGGTAGCATGATCTCATCTGATACAGTATCAAAGCTCTGTTAATGTGGTTGCATTAGTGTGGATGTAGTTGTTCTAGCTCTTTGCCTGTCTTAGTTGAAGTCTTACACAGAAATTAAATAAGCCATAATGATAAATGTATAATTTTGTACATGTAATTGCATATCCACTATTTGTGTTGGCAATAATAATGTCAGTGAGGGATTGTGCTGCTTTACTACTCTTCATCAAAGTACTTACTCCATCTAAAATTTGTAGTTGCGATGCCTCAGGGCTGGGCCCCTTTTATTTTGATACAGTAAAGCCAAAATATACCAGGACAGTTACGTCAATAAGATTGTACATAACCAAACAGCATATAACCAAAATACTGTTACAGCGTTTGTGGACTGCATCTGGCCAAATAAGGAATATTGCTATTAATTTCAGTATTTAGGCTAAGAATACACATCTTTTTCCTGTATCAATATTCTGTGTTGGATTCACTGAAGAGCGATATCTCTATAAAGATACAGATAGATAGGTATCTATCTTAAATATTTATTCTTTTCAGTGACATTTTATTGCCAGAAGTATAGGTAATAAAACTTTCTTAATGCTAGTAAAGCTTATTTTGCTCAGCAGTCTGTTAGAATCTATACTGGGAAAAAACCCATTCTTTTGCTTATATTAAAAATTAAGACAGTTTTGCAGTAATACAATAGCAATAATTACAGTAACACCCAGTGTGCCACTGAAGTCCCATCCTAGGCATGGCTGGATAAGATATGATCAGGAACATAAAACATTGATTATTTATAGGAAAGATTTTGTTTTGAGGTAATTATAGTAATTTTGTTGTCATTACTGTTAAAGTAATGTCAGCATCATAGCTGACAACTGTTTTACACCATTTACAAGGGTGTTGAGCAAAGGAAGGACCCTAGTGACTGCAGCAGCCTTTTGTTATATGTTGTTACTGTAGAGGTGTCTGAAAAGGAAGTCTTTCAGACCGTTTCAGTCAGCTGATGGCAAGAGAAAGGGGGAAGTACTTCTCATTTGTGTTTAAGAGAGTCCCTCATATGATATACTGTTTTTCAATTGAGCAAGTCTGGTTTATGTATTTATTTTTCCTTGTACAGCTTCCTTTCTCTCAAAAGACTTTTAAGAATAAACAGTTCCTTGCCCAGGCAAGGATAAACTTTTGGTATTACTTCACAATAGATGCTTGTAAAAATAAATAATATTTAAAGAAAAGGGGCAAAAAAGTAAAGCTGTAACATGCTGCCTCTATTGGCTGTGAAACTGGCTGAAAACTAGTTTAGTTAAATTAGCTTTGGATTTAGGTCTAAGGATTCCCAAAGTGCTTTTAAATGTTTTAAATTTGTATCTTACACAAAATAGCATGGTTCAGGAATTAAAATTTGTCAGAAATGGGAGTAGGGTTAGCGGGAGTTTGCTGTAAAGTAAACAAAGTCTAGCTTAACTCGTTACTGAAGAGACTCTTGCAGGCTAGTTTTTTTTTCTTTCTGTTTGTCCAAATTCTCCTGAGAGATGGGAAGCTGCACCTGAGTACATACATCGAAAGAACACAATGCATGCATAAAGGATTGCATTTAATTATGGTTTCTTCCTCTTTTCTTCTTTGGCAGGTTTATTTGTGTTTCCTATCTATTGCCTTTGTAAAAAGCAGAGGAAAAGATCACGGACAGGTATGCCCTGGTAAGGATGGACCTTATTCATCGGAACTGAGCTGGTCCTGCAAGGGCTATATAAGCTTTGTGCAACAGAGCAATACAGTGCTGGTAACAGCATCGAAGCCACCACCCTGGAAGAAGATTGGGGGATCTCCTGCTGTCTTCCCTCAGACGAAAACACTACTGCAGACCAGAAAGCCTCTTTGCTCTGGTGCACTCTGAACAAGATGGGCCCCCTGACTGCTGCTTTTTAAATGTTTTGAGTTTTGTTGTTTTTTTGTTTTTTAATTACTACTTTGGAGGGGTTTTTTGAGTCTAAGTTTCTGAACTAGACAATCAAAGTCTCTCTTGTAGCCACAACTCTACTACCGATTTGGCCTGTGAAGAAAGCATTTAACTGCTAACATGTGCTCCATTTAACTTCAGTGTCGGCCTTTAAGGGGGAAATGCTTAGAAGTGTTTGGACTCTTACTGTATACTGAGCATACTACTTTTGGTATTAAAAACTACTCCTGTAAATAACTTCCATCACACAGCATTCTGTTCAGCATACCAAAACCCCGTCACATGCCAGAGCACGACAGCTGGTTATCTTCCAAGTCCTAGGCAAAAGTGTAGATTGCCACCACCAAACTGCAGTGCCTAAGAGGGAAATAATCCTTAGTATTGAAGGTCCATTATACTTACAAATATGCTGATAGGGTTCACTTCAGTATTTATGGCAGTCTGTTAATATTGATTGGGGGGGTTGATGGATTTGTTAGAAAAGTACTGCATTCTGAAATCCTCCCGGTACAGAAAAAAGATTGAGGGGTTTAGATAAGAGGAAATGTCACTGGCCTGTTCTGTCCCAAGATATCCCTGAAATGTGTTTGCAGGGAAGCTTGAAACCTGCTCTTCTGTTCTGACTTGTTATATAATGCTACACGCTAGTTGTGTGAAGATCAATGGTGAAATTTTATAACCTAAATAGAATGTTCTGTTTAAGTAGGCTACATAAGTCTTAGAGTATCCACTGATGTTTCATGAGAAAAATCTGTGAATTTTGGGTAAGGGGAGGGGTCATGAATTCTTAGAAGACCATTTTGTCCTTATTCTCTGCTTCCAGCATTTCTATTCCTGGCACATTACAGATCTGAAGAGAATAGTTATCCTTGCTGTTTTTTCCTAACTTCAGAGTGCTGCTGTTTGCTGCCAGACCTCTTTCTCAGCGCATCGCCACAAGAGCAATGTAATTCAGTGTTAGGAATCAGCTACTGAGATTTTTTTCACTTTTGGTTATAATCCAAATTTATCATACAAATATAACTTAAAAAATAGAAGAAAATAAATTTGTATAAGCAGAACACTGAAACAATAAAGGAAGTATCTACTTCATACTTTAAAAATACAAGCTAGTCTTAAAGAAGATTGGATCTGTACTGCGAAGGTACTTTTTTCCAGTGTGTGTGTTTGAGGATACACGTGTATATATACGGGGAGAGGGGGAAGCAGGGACATGGCAATGTCCTGAAGAGTTTACAGACTTCAGAGTATAGGCCTGCAAATAGCATTTCATTTGAGAGGATGTACTTTGCACCGCTTTCTTTGAAAATTGTTATTAAATCTGAATCTAGTTGTAATTTTTAAGTAAACAGTATTCTGCCCCACCAATATAATACTGTTAAAAGATACTCACTTTGACTTCAAAGCCTCAGTGGAAGAAACCGATGAATCTTGTTTACCTGGAAACACAAATATCAGCTTACCATAGCTGGCTAGTATGCTTGTTTTCTGTCAGCTTCTGGTTTTGTTTCCTTGGGGTTTTTTTTTCTTGTTGAAACTGTGTGTGCAAGCACAGTCAACAAGTACTTAATATTTCCTTTTAAATTTAAGGGCATGTTGACTCTCTTGTCCTAATGGTAGAAGTAGTACCTTTCTAAAATGTGCAAATTAAGCGGGGAAGCAATGACATTTAGAAGTAAAGTTCAAAGCCTATTGTCAATGCAGATCCACCCATTAATTAGATATCTTCTTCTGTGACACATCAGTTTTCTATTTGTGTTCTGAGGTTAGAAGCTGCCTTAAAAGTCTTGGTTTGAGTGTGTTTTCTGAGGCTATACATATCAGTTGTCTTTGGCTTACTCAGGGATTTTTATTCCTCTCTTTAAATGTCAAATAATGAAGATATTTTTGTATTATTTAGAAAAACCTTCAAACCTCAGAGTGAGATATATATAGATAGATTTGGGTTTGCAATGCAGTCTGTAATATGGCGTCAAACTATTCCACATGAGAATACTTTCGTACTTGAGGTTATCTGTAATTAACTATACAGTGGGTTAATTCCTTTTCTTTTCCTGGTTCTTTATAAATACGTGAGATATTCTTACAGTCTTTGTAGCTGTTTTTACTCTGCTGTGTTTGCCATTTTCAGTTTCTGATGGGAGTTCAAAAAGATTTGAAATTAATATGTGAGAATAAAGTGCATAAAAGGGAACATATTAGATCTGCACTTACTTATATTCGGAAAGCATGTCATTGTGGGTGGAGGAAAGGAGCATGTATCTCTGCTCCTACATTGTCATTTCATCTAGGCCATTTTTATTTTATCAGAACAGATTAAATCAAAGTGAAGTTGTTCTTCATATTTTACATATAGCAAAAAGAGGCATCTTTCACCTTGTAAAGATGAAAGTCTACTCTTGCTCTGTAGGTAGAAAAAAAATAATAGGAATGACAATACTTGCTTTTGCTTTTCTGTAGAATAGGGAAGTATTTCAAGAGGCAGGCAGAGTAGGGATATGGTAGTCTTTTTCCATTCCTATCAAAATATTCCCACTTGAATAGTACATAAATACAATTTTCCATTAATATTAAGTAACAAAAGCAACTGAAATAGAAGTAGTTTAGTACAAAACTTCACTCAATAAAATGCTAGCTTTTAAACAGCTCTTCTCATATCTCGTATCAAATCCTACATACATCAGTCATGTCACTTGTTTTACATGAATTAAGTTATCAGTTTGAAAGAAATGGAATGAATTTAATTGAAAGGAAATTCAAGAATGTTTTTATTATGTAAATATTTGGGGTTTTTTTGTAACTGTACTCTAAACAAACCATCAAACTGTTCTACTCCATCTTTATTAGCAGAAAACTTCATCAGGCAGCTGAAATAACCTGCGAAGGCAGATCTCACACTACTGTATGCTGATCATCAGGTTTGCTCTCACCACGTTTAATATTTAAGATAGTTTATCCTTGTGCAAAGTTGTTGCTCACTGATATCTGTATTCTAACTAGGAAATGCTTAAATCCATTCTACCTACCGTTCTATTTCAGGCTTGCCTGGAAATGGCTCTACCCATGTTCTTGGGTCTCCTTGCAGGCTTACAGTTGGAGCTGGTGCCCTCCCAGCAGCACCATGCCATGTTGTGTCCTGTCCTGCCTCTGCGGGAGGGGACTGCTTTCCCTTTCGCCACTAACAGTAATTAGTTGTATTTCGCTAACTGGGTAAGGTTTCAGGGCTGCTCAGCCATGTCAGTGGCACGGTGATTCTGACTGCCACGGCATCTTGGAGCATAGTTAAGTATATTTGCAGAGCTTATCCAGGAGCTCGTGACTGGAAAATAATTGTGCTTCTCCTTGTGTCCACCTATTAGCCAGTGACAATACAAGCGAGAGGCAGAAGTACAGTTCTGAGTAGCCTTATGCTGTACCTTACCCATCTGTTTTAGGTCCATACAAAAAAGTCTGTGAGTCTTCAGTTCTCGCCACCTCTATAATAAACAACATATTCATATCTTTCAAATGTCATTAAATACAGTCACTTTGAGTAATCCATTATCTTCCTTCGGGGAAGATAATGCAAATGTGTAAGTAAGATTTTGTTTGGCTTTGGTGTTACTGATGCTGACTTCATAACTCTTCCTGGTATGTCAGATGCTTTTTCATTTACATCTATTTATTGGTTCTGAAAGTTTGATCAATGTGAAGTTTTACTTTATAATGTTAACTTGCAGGGACTATTGCCAATTTAACAAGGAAGTGTTTGGCATCACCATCAGGTATTCTTTTTAGCCAACAGGCTTTCTGCTCTTCCAAAGACCGCCATAGCTTGTGTGATGTTAAATGGTGTGTAGGTATGTCAGAACATACAAATGCTCCAGTGATGGAATGGTTTCTCTTGCTAGTTAGATCTGAGAAATTGTTTAACATTCAATGGCCAAATAGTTTGCCATGCAGACTCTGGTTTTGGTGTGGGGTTTTTTTATTATTTAGTTGTGGTGTTTTGTTTCTTGAACAAACCTGGCATCGTTTATAATTCTTGGGATGATTATTGTGTAGGTCCAAGCTGTGGATGAGGACCATGGATTTTTTAATTTTTTTTTATATTCTATATTAGATCTCAGATTTTGCTGATGGGAAGAATCCTATGTGAGGAAGCTGTGGGAGAGATAATTTCTTAGTTTCTTTCAATTTTGCAGCCTTATAGTTGTCAGTGGGTCAGCTCCATTCCTGACATTTGTCATAGCCCTGTTTAAACCAGAGAAGTTGTACTCATTTTTTTTTATGCTAGTGTAGAGTTTTGTCACAAATACTTCAATAAAAATATCTGGAAGTGTGTTGAAGCCATTGTGCAGCAACTTGAAAATCTGGCTTACTTCTGAAGAAGTGCAAATTACTATGGAGCTGGTCCTCTCACTCGCAGAGTGATGCTATTGCTAGAGACGGCAGGAAGTAGTGAAGAATTTCCAAATGAGATTCTTATTAAAGCAAATTGTCAGGAGAAGGAATACTAGCTTTTAATGTAATAGAGACCTTCTCAATGCTTCAAGTCACTAGTAAAGTTAGAAACAACATCCACAGACAGTGTTAAACAACATACCTGAAAATTCTTTCTTCATGTAACAGATATTAGCACTGTTCAAGAATTGGAATTACAGCTGTTCAGTATGTTTTGACTTAACACATAAACTTGAAAAAGAAGGCACATTCAAAAAGTTACATTGCTGATATATTTGGTGGCTAGTCTTGCTACCGTTACATGAAAAAACAGCTGAGCCTTGGTTCAACTGCAAGACTAGCAGTATTTTCACTTGCGTACTACTCAAGCTATAACACAACACCCCCAAAAACTTTTTCTTAAAACTAACAAATGCAGCTTGTTGCAGTTACACAGACTATTGTTTCCTGGCTGATCCTTCCTTATCTCTCCGGGCATAAAGGCTTAGGGTCTATACGTTCTCTCTCCAGTAAGGAATGGAATGATCACATTAGGCAATTAATTGCTGATTCTCCTCTTAGCCTGACAGTAAAATTCCATGAGGTGAGGAAATCACAACTGATCTTGGAGTGCATGCTTTCATTTCAAAGATAAAAATGTGTAATAAGCTTTAATTATATACTCCCTAGTAAAAATAGATACATAAATTTTGAAGCATAATTCCAGCTGTTTGTTTATATCTGTTTGAAAACAATAATAGAGTAGTTACAATAGCAGTTAGTTTATTAAAAAAACTCACTGTGCAAAAGAAAAC